AGAGCCGAGATAATTTGGCAGCCATTTCGGGGATGGTCTATAACCACCCCTAAAAAAAATTGTGAGTCAACCGGAAGTCCAAATTCCGTCTTTAGTAATTAAATGTGACATGTACAACAAAAGTAATGAAAATCGTATGATTGAGAGTCGAGATAATTTGGCAGCTATTTCGGGGATGGTCAGAAAGCACCCTTAAAAAAATTTGCTGTTTCTAGAAGCTGAATGGGAAATTCACAACAAATTTCATGTTCATATAGTATTCATTGATTTGTTTTAATTCGGATTTGACTAAAAAATCTATTAGTTAAGCTATTAATTTATTTTTAACGTTTTACTATTTACTTTATAACTCTATATTTGTTTGGGGGTAGTCATTTTACATCATTATCAGGTTACTTACATATATAATAATAATAATTGGATTTAATTCTCTGTCTAAACATAAATCGAAGACTTTGCTAAAACATGTGTCTTTATTATTCTTACTTCTATGGATATATATTAGGATCGGCCAAGTTCGGATAATTTAACTGCTATCTTTGGCTGCTGTTTTCACACCGGTCGATATGTAAGGGTGAACTTGATTGGGTGATTTGTCAACAACTGAAATTTATGGACCAGTCACGTAGTGCGGCTGTGTTTGTGCGGCGTTTACCCGCCCGCGCATTCTTCAACTGGTCGTATACATTTCTATCACATCCACATTTAATTCGAGCAGACCTGTATATGGGTGTGGTTAAATAAATATGGAAACAAACTTTACAAATATTTCAATGCAGGATTGCTATGTAGTGACCGAACCTGGTACGTACTGCCTAGCTCTTTGGTCTTCAATTGAGATCAGAAAGACTTACCAACCCCTTCGGAAGAGCCCTTGGCAATACTGAATGAGAGCATGAGGGTTGCAAAGTGTCCATTCATACTCCTTTCCGTAATGATATTGATATTCATAACATTAACACTATTTAAGGAGGTTCGATACCGAAAAAAAAATGGTAAAAAAGTTTTCAAAATCATTGAAATCTGTTAATAAATATGCCAACTGCCTCATGTAAAAATATCAAATCGATTGCCAATACAGTTTTTTTGAAAAATGATATTAAAAATTATGCTCTTATACACAGGCTCTTATGGCTCTTATGGGCGTGGGGAAAAAACTTTAATCAAACGTGAATATTGCTTTCAAAAATGGTTAGAATCGAGAAAATAAAATTGTAATTAAAGAACTAAATATTATTAAACATTTTAAAACAATAAAAGTATGCACTTACAATGTAATTATTGAGATAATGGAATGAATACATAACGTTTTGACAAATTTGAACAAACATCTGATCCCATGAAAGGAAATATGGCAACGCTGTGCGCTGTATTTAACGCTTCGACTGACGCGTTATATTTGAATAGCTCGATTGTAGACTATAAAATTATTCCAGTCGAAAACATATGTAGTAATAATTAATATTAAATAAATTTTTCGTGATCTAATGCAATATAATAGCAATTTGAAACAAACATTGAAAGGATCTCTTTGCAAAACGAAAACAGTGTAGATGTTCTGTCACAATCTTCAATTTGACAAGGCGACGTCTCACTATCATACACTGAGCTTCTCGATAGTTATCATATGGATTCTCGCTGTACACATTTTACTCTTTTTCTCATCAGTCCACGTTCTATCTGTTTCATACGCATTTTATATTGCTTCTCAGTAATTACTTTTCCTTTGTATCTTGGATGTTCATTCATGTTTACGGAAAACGCGCAAAGCACAGTTGACAGTAATGACAGTTGACCCAACTTTTACTACCACGCCATGGCAATGTTGCCAGATTTCATCCATAATTTTAAAAGCTCAATGAATAAATACAATAAAAAGTAAATTGCCGTGCACATACACTAAAAATATATGCAAGCTAATATGTGTTGTGTAAATGTCATTCGTATATATATTTAGTTCGCTCAAATTAGTTTATGTAAGGTTGGTGCTACAACGAAACTACCGTGTATAAGCTGTAACATTCACTGTCTGTTTAGAGTGAATATCACAATTTATTTTAACTATAAGTCGACAATTAAACAACTTCTTGAGACCTTAGTATAGAATTCAACTTTGTTATTACTATTAGTTTTGTTTCCACCTGTATACTGCAATATTGTTGTTACATCTTTTAAATCTGTGTCATACCCTGCAATTAGTTATAAAACATCAATGTATTAAACTGTATGTAAGATGTATAAGGAGGTTCGATACATCTTTTGTGGGGCAGGCAGTGCGGGAGGGGAGCCTATGCTTATACACGGTAGTTTCGTTGTAGTACCAACCTTACATAAACTAATTTGAGCGAACTAAATATAATATATACGAATGAA